TGGTATATGGCAATTAAATTTCAACATGCGTTTAGGAGGGGATACATTTCAAACTACAAAAATGTCTAACATTGATTTGGAGAAATCCGCAGTCGTGAATGTTTCCAGTTTTTCTTCGGTTCATTTGCCTCCTTCTGGTACCCCAGTATGCACTGTTACACGTTTCATAGCTAGCCTTCAGTTCTTGGCTCTTCTGTCCTGGGCTTTTTCCTGGGCTTCTTTTCTCTTTGCTTTTTTGGTTTGGGAGGTTTCTCCTAAGATAGCCTCCGTCTCAGGGATTCTTTCCTCAGTGTGTGCAGTCTGGTTGTAAGCCCATTGGAGGCATTCCTCGTCTCTAGCACAGTGTTTCTGATGTCTAACATTTCGTTGTATTTTTCCCTTTGAGTTTCTGTCTCTCTGTGTACATCGCCCATCTGTTCTTGCAGGTGTCCACTTTATTCATTAGCGCCCTTAGTATATTAATCCTGTTGTTCTGAATTTCTGCTCTGATAACTCTGAACTCTCTGCCATACCTGAGTCTGGTTCTGACGTTTACTCTGTGTCTTCAAACCTACAGTGCAGTGCCATGCATAGTGAGCTAGGTCCCACACAACCAACAGGGTTCTAATCTCAGTCCTGGTGGCTTGAGAGACATGCCTGTGTCCCCAGCCTTGATTGGATGGAGAAATACAAGAAAAAGGGTGGTGGCATGACCATGCCTTATTGGGGCGTTCGTTCTCTCTCCTACCCCTTCTTCTCTCTATGTTGAGCACACATACTCTCTTGCATTTTTTTAAAAACTGTATTTTGTGTGTGAAATTAATCTGAAAATTAAAAAAAAATCTATACTTTTTGGCTACATTTTTTCTTGACGCCGCACATGACACGTTGACCGCAGGAACCGCCGTGAATGGACCTTCAGTAACGTGATAAGGTGTTTGGCCAGGGGAAGCGTGTAGTCCTCCGATTAGGGTTCAGTCTTTGGACCTCCACAAGTGTTTCTCACCTCCCTCACCCTGCCTGGTGGGACGAGGTGGCCAGATGGGGCTGGAGTTGAGTGCATCCCTTCCCCCAGGGCAGCTAGGCCCTAAGAAAGTGCCGGCAGGTTGGACTCAGGCCGACAGCTTGTACCCAAGGGCCAGTCTGGTCGTGAGCGGAATGCCCTGGCATGTTTCACATGTCCCCTCTCCCCTCCTGATGCCAGAGCACAGGGGATTTTTCTCCAGTACTCACCGTAAGAACCTGGAAGAGCACCAGGAGCCGAACTCACGGAAGGCCGGGCCTGAGGAATGGGCCCCTGGAGTGGTTCCGTGGCTGGTCCACACTGAGCCTCCAGCAACTTGCCCATGGCAGTGTCGGCTCCCCTCCCTGTGCTGGCTCCTGCGGGATTTCGCTCCTCTAAGTCGTGGTCCTCTGAATCCACCCGTCCAGTTCTGGAGGCAGCAGTTTCCCCTGGGACCTCGCTTTTCTGACAGGTCTAAGAAAAGCTGTCGATTTTTCAGTTTGCTCAGAAGTTTTACTTGTTAGTTAGGATGGAGTGGAAGCTTCTGAGTTCCTTCCATGCCAGAGCAGACAAAAAAAAACTCTCTTAAAAAAAAACGACTAAAGGTCTATTTGGAAAATATAAAAAAGCATTAAGAATAAAATAAGCAGTATCTCCTATTCTATGTCAGTGACCTAAATTCCTCCTCATTGTCTTCCTCTTCTGTGATGGGTTCTTGCACCTCCTACAAACCCCTTCATTGATCTCTTAAAAATAGATCATAGAATGGCCAGCAGATGGGACCAGCAGTTAGCATAATGGCTATGTCGCTGGACTCCCATGTAGTCGACCGTGGTTCAAGTCCTGGACCTGGTGGCTTAAACTCAGGCCAGGCATGTGTGCATGCGTGCTCAAGATCCCGAGAGGAGAACGGAGGAGAAGGGATTGCGGCGTGGCCATCCCCCCTGGGGGGTGATTTCTCACTTTCTGTCTGTCTCTCTCTGACTTTCTGGCGAGCGCACGCGCCCTATAGCAAAAACCTCTCCAAAAAAATGAAAAAGAACGGCCAGCAGATGGTGTAGCAGGAGTCGCTGGACTCCCATGTGGCCAACCACAGTTTGAGTCCCAGACCTGGTGGCTTACAACTCACACCGGGCACGTGTGCATGCATGCCCAAAATTCCAGAAGGAGAATGGAGGAGAAGGGATTGTGGCATGGCCATCCCCCCCGGGGGTGATTTCTTACTTTCCGTCTCACTGTCTCTATCTCTCTCTTCTCTCTCTGCAGTGAGTGAACACACCCTACGGCAAAAGCCTCTTTAAAAACAAAATAGATCACGGAGACGTCCCAAATGGTTACGTTTTTCTATTGTACAGAGCGCCTTGCAAAGTCTGTGCAAATGCATTAAAGTTTGCTGTGAACCATTTCAAAATTCACATTTTCCTTGAACATTTCAAAGATCCCGCAGGGCTGTGCTGCTGTGCATTTGCTGGTCCCTGCTCAGCCGTCTCCACTGCTCCTTCCCTGTAAATGATGCGCACGGCCGTGGCTGCTGTTGGGTCAGTTCCGAGAAACCCAAGTATGGGTTAAGAACACGGGCGTCTTTGAGGCTTTTGATAAATTTATATCAGCCATTGAAAAAGGCAGCTTTTTTCCCCATTTCCCTGTCCACCAGTCATCAAGCAGGCGTCTATTTCCAAACACACTCACCAAAGCTGGAGTTATGCTTTATTTTATATCTTTGCCAGTTGGGTGAACAAAACAACGATATCCCTCTGTTGGTTTAAATCGAACTTATTGGGACTAGCAGGTGGCATAGTGGTTAAGGTGCTGGACTCCCACATGGCCAACCACGGTTCAAGTCCTGGACTTGAAAATTGTGCTGGGCACGTGTGCCTACATGCCCCAAATCCCAGGAAGAGAATGGAAGAGAATGGATTGCAGCACGGCCATCCCCTCCGGGAGGAGAGTAATTTCTCTCTTTCCTTCTCACTGTCTCTGTTTCCCTGGCGAGTGCATGCACCCACCTTATGGCAAAAACCTTTTTTAAAAAAATCGAGCTTATTTGCTTATTAGAAAATTTGCACATTTCTTCATATAGTAACAGCTCATCTGTATTATTTTTTCCTTTTTGTGGAACATCCATGATTGTCCTTGGCGCATTTGTCTTTTTTGCTGAGCTTTAAATGCCTTTTTATAAAGTAAGGGCATCAACCTGTATACAAATATTCTTCCAAGTCTGTGTTTGCCATTTAGTTTTGTTTATGGTGGTTTTGATGTGTAGAAGTTTTGTGTTATTTCTGCAGAGTTACCAAGCTTCCTTCCTTGGTTTCTGATTGTATTGAAGTGCCTAGAAAGGTCTCCTCTACTCTGATTTCATGTAACATGCACCTGGGCTGTTTCTCTTCTTTTGATACTTTAACAGTAGTTTCATTCCTCCCTCTCTTGCTAGTAATCATTCATCAGTCTGGAATTTATTTTGATGTATAGAATTAAAATCGGATGCTAACTTAAATTTCTCCCAAATAATTGCATAATTTTCACGTAATTCATGAATAATTACTTTGGTTTTTTTTTTTTCTTTTATTTTGTGAGCTGATTTATTTTGTGAGCATGAATAATAAATAATTCATCCTTTGTTTGTTATTTGGAAATTGCCACCTTTAACATATTTTAAATACTTATCTCTTCTACTCTAGTATCTTTCTGGGAGGTTGTTTGTTGTTGTTGTTGTTTGTTTGTTTATCTTATGTCATTGATCTACCTGTGTTCTCATATGCTATTACAACATGACTCATTATTCTGGCTTAACAGTGTATTTTTAAATCTGGCAATTCAAGTCCTCTCTCATCATTCTTTTGAAAACGTGTTTTGTTCATTATCTCATGTTTAGTCCTCCAGGTACACTTCAGAGTCATTTTGTCAAAATAAAAGAACAAACCTTTCAGGATTGTAAATGGAACTGAATTAAACTCAAAAATTAATTGGGAGAAAGTTGACACCTCTACCCTTGAACTTTACTGTGCAAAGTGCAGTATGCCTCCTCGTTTAAATCTGTGTTTATACCTCTCTCTTAAGATATGTCCTTTTTATCGCTTTTTAAACCGAAATTGCACACTTCTGTTTCTTATTTGTCATTTAATGTTTTCACCGTGATTGTAAAGCGAATCCTTTTGCCATTAGGTTTTCTTACTGTTTGTCACTGATAGAGAGAAAGACTATTAATTTGTCCTCACTGGTCACTTGGTCTCCTGCTGGTGCTTGTGTTTAGGAATTTATCTTAAGGGTCTTCTGGAAGGCATTTATAATTTGCAAATAAGAATTTATTTCTTTCCAAAAGGTGTGCCTCTACATTATTTTTCCTTTCATTTCATTGGCTAATGGTGGGGTGAGTCCTTAGCTGTGCTTTTTTTTTTTCTTTCCTTTTTTTTTTCCCTTTAATGAGAATGCCTCAGTGTTTCCCCATTAGTGTGATGTTAAAAGCTGATTTAAGCTAAAGATGCTTCAAGGAAGTGTCTTTTCTGGAGCTCCTTGATTAAGCATCCTCAGCAGCTTGGTAGATATTAGATTTTATCGAATGCCTTCCTTTATTTTGAGAGTTGATCATGCTTTTTTTTTTTTTTTTTTTCTCTCCTTTGAACTATTGATGGGCTGGAATGATATTCATAGATTTCTTTATATTGAACCAATCTTACATTCCTGGAATAAAATTCTATGTGGTCATGGCATGTTATCCTTGTAATGTTCTGGTAGATTCTACTTGCCAGAACCCTATTGAGAATTTTCATAGGAATAGTAATACGTTGGTAATATTATTTTGGCCCTGCCAGGCTCTGCTCTCAGGAATTTGCTAGTCGAGTGAAATGAACTGGGCAAAGTTTCGTTTCTCTTATGCTCTGGCACAATTTCTATGTTGGCAATTATCTAGGGTATTATTGAGCTGGGGAGGGGGGACACTTTGTCCATAAAACCTTCTGAGCCGAGCAGCTTTGCTAGGGCCCGTCGCTGCCCACCATACACGGTTCTATCCTCCCCCCAGGAGGAATCTTCGAGTATGCCGACGGCCCCAACGCCCAGGTCATGAACGCCGAGGAGCACGCCTTTCGATTTTCTGCCAACATCATCAACAGGAACAGGACTCTGCTGCCCAACACGACCTTGACCTATGATATCCAGAGGATTCACTTCCACGACAGCTTCGAGGCCACTAAGAAGGGTGAGTGTGAAGTCCCTGACTGTTCTCTTCTGGGCCCGGGGCGGGGAGGACCGTCTGCTGTCCAAGCCCCTGCAGCAAGAGCTATGGTGGGTTGGCTGGTGGCCTTGTCTGCCTGGCGTGGAGACCTGCCTGCATGCCAGCTCGGCTCAGCTGTGTGATCCCCGGGAGCTGTGGGTTGTTGGTCAGGAATTCCCAGGTCACTGTCAGAGGCTGCAGGGGGACGAGAGGCCATGGAGGTGTGGGGGGGGTGAGGGATGGGGAAGGTTGGCTCTGAGGTGGTAGTAGGGAGGCCAGGCAGGTCCCAATGCCTCTAACCAAAGTGGGCATTTCCAAACTCGCTTTTTCTCTCATTGAAATCCTCCCCAGAATATCCATGTTTAAAATATATGTAAAACAGCGCATGTGTAAGTTCAACTCTGCGACATTTGCTTGCCATAAAAAGATTTAATAAAAACAACAAAGCTGTTTTAATTCAGATCCAACTTCAAGACTTAGATGACTCTGGAAATAGCTCCCAACGAACCCTAGAGTTCCATGTAGCTCTGTTCAAAAACCCCAGGGCTAAGGAATCCCATTCTAAGCATTAGGTTATCCACTCCCTAATACAATATTCTAGTTCTGCTTTTCTCCTTCAAAGTTCTGACCACAACTGGTGGTTAAGTAATTGTGTGTGTTCAATGTTTTTCCCTTGTCCCCACCACCACTCTTGTCAATTGCCACATGCCTAGCACCTGAGGGCCTGGCATGCAGTCGTGCCCACTGAAATGGTTGGTTGATGGAAGTGTGGCACATGGGAGCCTGAACCTATCAGCCGAGCTTCAAGGACAGTGTCATCCATGCACCTTGGGCAGACTGGCCCAGCCACAGGGGACCCTTGTCTTTCTGAGGGGTCCTAGTCTACTCATAACACCTTTCCCCAAGGCCGGGACCCTTGATCTCCTGGGCTCCCAGGTGCAGACCTTCCAAGGTGCTGCCCCCTGCTGGCTTTGCTTTCCCAGCCCCAGTGTGGGCAAACCTCTCAGCACAGAATGAGCTTGGAGCCAGGGTGCCTGGACTTGCATCTGGGCAACTTGATTTTAATTGTGTGACCTTAGACAAAATGCCTTGTGACTCAGTTTCCTCACCTACAAAATAGACACTGTAAAGTACTAGAACAATGCCTGGCACCCCCCTTAGCACCATAGAGGACAACTTTGGTCTTATTTCCCTTGGCAGCATGGCCCCATACACACTGAGCCACAGGTCAGGGCCTGACTCCTTCGGCGGCTTTCCCATGACGGGTCTTGCTCCCCCTTCCTCCACCACCTTGTCTTTCAGGTCAGTAGGTCCCTGAGTTTGAGCAGTTAACAATGACATTTTAGATGGCCGAATCTCAGAGCCAAACTGCAGACAGCCTAGAGGTTCCCCATCCTGGGTTAGCCCGAAGAGTGGCTGTTGGCCCAGCTCCCCTCTCCCTGCACTGGCATGCCCTCCTCCCTGCCCGTGTCTTCCTGCTCTCTTCCCAGCAGGCCCTGCGGCCAGCACTGAGCAGTGTCCACCTCCCTGCTGAGAGTCCATGCTGACACTTCTGCCCGGCCTCGTCCAGCTACAAAATGACTAAACTCAACCAAAACGGCTCAATAAAAAGGTCAGGACACAGAACAAATGCCCGGAGTCAGAAGAGAGGCCCACATGGGCGCAACCACCCAAAAGGCTGAGCCGGGTCTCCAGTCCAATTTTTCTAAAACTCACTGAAATGATAAGATCACTCTTTAGTTGTGCACCTGCACTCGGGCATAGACCTTCCCCAGCTGAGCACTTTCAGAGCTTTCCAGAGGCACTTCTCTAGGAACTTAGACTCTCCCCGCCACCCACCCCCGCCATGTGGGACTGCCTGCCAGTGAGCAGGTCCAAGAGAGAGACCTCAGCTCCAGAAATCCAGCCCTAGGCTCCCAGTGACCAGAGTCACACCCTCTCCTCACCTTCCACCAGACCATGTGGCTTGCTTAAAACCCTGGATGGTGGGTTCCTAGTTCTCTCCCCAAATCATCTTCAGAGCCCGTGAGTCCAGCCCCAGTCTGACCCCAGCCACATCGGTGACACTCTTTTGTCTTCTGGGTTCCAGTCATACCTGTCATCCCCAGATACCATGCTACCTCCTACCTTATCATTCCCTTCCCCATCCTGCCCCATCTTGCCCTGGGTCTAGCTCGCTCATCCTTCTGTCAAACTTATGGTGCTCAGGGAAGCCCTCCTCGAGCCCCCAGATGTGAGAGCAGGTCTCCCCACTTCCATCTTATAACAATCTGGGCCTTTCTCTTCCAACCCTGTGTGCATGTGTGTGTGTGTGTGTGTGTGTGTGTGCGCGCGCATGCGTGCACACATGCATGCATGCAATTTAGGGATGATTGTCCATCTCCTCCACTAGACTGCAAGCGTTTGTCTTTTTACTGGCCTCCTAACATGGACCTGGCACAGGCAAGACCAGAATCAGCATTGGTGGTTTGATCATATTTGCAGAGGAAAGAATGAACAAAAGCCCAGTGTGTCAGCCCCATGCAACAGACAGTACTCCAAACGATCCCTACAGGAGGCCAGGCCCCTGAGGGCAGGGAGCTAGGTCACAGGGCCAAGAGCTGGCACAACCAGAAAAATGGAGAGAACTACATAAGTGCTATAGCACTCACAGGAAGGCTTCTTGGAAGGGAGGTCTAAGATGAACTTTGAAGACTGATGGGAAAGAGGGAGTCAAGAAAAAAGACAAAAGGTAGAGTGTTACTTAAAGGAGGCTACTTTTATGCACTTGAAAACTTGTTGAGCACCCACTGTGTGTGTGGTATTGGGAATCCCAAGGTGGGCAAGGCAGAGGGTGGCCCGTCCTGCCATCACATCACAGAACTTAATAACTAGAGAAGCTGGAGCCGCAGGTGCTGGTCTGGGAGGTGCAGGGACAGTGCAAGAGAGAAAGGTTGAGCCTTGACTTGTTCAAAGAGCATTTAGTTGTAAGAAACAGAAACCTACTCAGAAAAATCCTAGCTTAAAAAACGCGACTCCCAGCCAAATGAAGGTAAGGACCATGCAAGCCCCCAAACGCCCTCAAGCCCCTCCCAGTCGCATCCACTAAGGTCACCCTCTTCTGACTGTTGGTGCCATACATGTGTTTCGTCCCCTTTTGGGGGGTTCTGTCACATGGCCTGTGTACTCAGCAGAGAGACCGAGAGAGGGAAAGTGAGAAATCACTGTCTGGGGGGATGGCCACGCCGCAGTCCTTCTACCTCCACGCTCCTGTCGGGATTTGGGACACATACGCACACGTGTCCAGTGTGATTTTCAAGCTGCTGGGTCCGTAACTCAAACCACATTCTGAGCGTGTGGGAATCCAGCGCCTTACCCACCACGCCACCTGCGGGTCTGTGGTTTAGCCCATTTTCAGCTTTACGTATACAGACTCATGCAGCGTCTGCTCCTGTGAGCTGGCTTCTGCTCTTTGGTGCATCTGGGAGAATGGCCGGCGCGTGCGTACCAGTAGCCCGTGGGTCTTCAGTGAAGTATTCCATTATATTAATATGCCTCAGAGCTTTTAAAACGCTGTCGTTGCATCTTTAAGCTGTTTCCATGGGGGGCTACTGCAGGCTGAGCTCCTCTGAACATTCTCGCATCCTCCAGTGGCTGTCTGCTCGTTTTTGTTGGGGACGTACTTAGGAGTGGAAATGTGGGGTCATACGACACGCATATGTTCAGCTGAGCAGCTTTTCAAAGTTGTCGCTGCAGTGTGCACTCCCTCCAGCAATCTACGAGAACCGTGGCTGCTCTGTATTTTCACTGACGCTTAGGGAAGAAAGTTTTATTTTTAACTTCTGGCTGTAATGGCGCTTTAGGTACTGGGCGTCTCGCTGTGACTTTTAGTTTGTATTTTCCTATGATTAGCGATGTTGCGCACAGTTGCAGTTCCTTATGCTAAGGGGTCATCTGACTGTTTTCTTTCTTGAAGCGCATTTTTGAGCCTTTCAATCACTTTTTTTTTCCCCTCTGGTAATTTTGCTATAGGGTACGTGCATTCACCAGAGAGAGACACACAGAGAGAGAGAGGGAAAGTAAGAAGTCACCCCTCCAGGGAGGTGGCCATGTCACAATCCCTTCTCATCCATCTCCTCTCAGGACTGGGGGCACACACACACAAGTGTCCAGTGTGATTTCCAAGGTGCAGAACCCAGGACTCAAATCTTGCAGTCGGCAATGTGGGATCCAGTCACCTTAACCATCACACCACCAGCTGGTCCTCGTTCCCTTTTTAAATTGAGTTGCTTGGACCAGCCCCATGGCTTAGTGGTTCAGGCACCCAGATCCCACATAGCCAACCCTGCTTGCTGTTCGAATCCTGGACCCAGCAGCTTGGAAAGCATGCATGGTGCATGTATGTGCACCAGGATGGAGAACTGGAGGGGAGGCTGCAGTGTGACCGTGCCCCACTGGGGGACACTTCTCCCTCTTCCTTCCTGTCTGTCTCTCTGTCTTTCTTTGGCAGGGGCACCTGCCCTCTGACGATACAGAAGAAAAAATAAAATAAGTTAATTTTGTCATTTTTTTATTGTTATTTTTTATTGATCTTTTGGAGTCCTTTATGCATGCTGGACAAGAGTCCTTTGTTAGAGACACACACACCCGCACACACACACACATGCACACACACACACACATGCACACACACACGCACACACCCGCATACAATCCTGCTTATCTCCACTGCATCTGGGCTTGCTTTTATACTGTCTTGATAGTGTCTTTTGAAAAGAAAGTTTTTTATTTGTTTACTTTGTTTTAGAGAGATTTTTGCCATAGGGCACATGCACATACCAGAGAGACAGAAAGTGAAAAATCATTCCCCAAGGGAGATGGCCACACCACAATCCCTTCTCCTCCATTTGCCTCTCAGAATTTTGGGCATGCATGCACATGAACCTGGCATGAGTTTCAAGCTTCCAGGTCTGGGACTTGAACTGTGGTCAGCTTATGTGGGAGTC